GCGGTAGTGTAGCAGAGAGTTAAGTGTGACTGTCATAAAATGGAGTAAGTTTTTGAACGTTTATTGGCTCCTATGTACTGGATAAATTATCTCATTGAAATTTGAAAATCACTTTTTAAAAAGGGGGAAAATTATTGAAATAATATTGAACGTAATATATGTAAATCAAAAATGTTTTATAAGTATGTTTGTATGTATGTATGTTTTGTATGTATGTATGTATGTGTGTATGTATGTTATGTTAGGTATGTATGTATGTATGTTTGTATGTATGTTTGTATGTTTGTATGTATGTATGTTTTGTATGTATGTATGTATGTGTGTATGTATGTTATGTTAGGTATGTATGCTTGTATGTATGTATGTATATATTTATGTATGTATGAATGTTTGTATGTATGTCCGTATGACATTGAAATTTAGAATTTATGTCAAAATTGTAAAATTGAAATTTTGCCTTGTTGAAACAGGTGTTTGAGATGATGTACAGTTGCTATCAATGCAATATAATGCGTTCTGTGTAATATGATACCTGCTTATATCTTCAAGATTGAATGATTGAATGAATGAATGAATGTTTAGATGGATAAATAAATAAATGAATGAATGAACTAATGAATTAATGAATGAACGAATGAATGAAAAAAAGAATCCATAAGAATGGACTAACGAGCGAACGAACGAAGGAATGAATTTACAACAAACAAAAGAATAAATGAATAAACAATTGAACGAATGAAACGAACAAATGGATGAATGAAGATCAAAAGAAAACAAATAATACAAATTACAAAATAAATAATTTTACTCTGTATGAATGAATCTTCCTGTTAATATTGATTGACAGTCGGATGAATGAGTAAGTGAGTGAGTGATTGAGTGAGTGAATGAGTGAGTGAGTGATTGAGTGAGTGAGTGAGTGAGTGAGTGAATGAGTAGATAGGTGATTGAGTGAATGTTTGAATGAAATGACCGTTGGATAAATGAACGAACGAATGAATGAATGAATGAAACGATTTACATAACCGTCACTGTTTATGCATCCAAGGTGTGCATGTATGTATGAATTAATGAATGAATGAAAGAATGAGTAAATCGATGAATGAATGAATGAATGAAGAAAGTAAAGGATGAATGAATAAATAAATGAATGAAGGAAGGAAGGAAGGAAGGAAGGAAGGAAAAAGAAAGCCAGGAAAGCTATGTTTTAGTTGTTGTCACTAATTTATCCAATTTTTTACGTGTTGAAAAAAAACTTTTCTCCTTGCGTTTTGGTTAATTTTTTTTTTCTACCGCTGATTAATTAATTAATCTCTCGCTCTTCATATCTTATTCATGTGGTAATCTTCAAGTATTAGTAGTAGTAGCAGTAGCAGTAGTAGTAGCAGAAGTAGTAGTAGTAGTAGTAGTAGTAGTAGTATTAGTAGTAGTAGTAATAGTAGTAGTAGTAGTAGTTGTTGTTGTTGTTGTTGTAGAGTAGTAGTAGTAGTAGAAGTAGTAGTAAAGTTAGTAGTAGAAGTAGTAGTAGTAGTAGAAGTATTAGTAGTAGTATCAGCAGTTAATGAATGATGCAGTATCAGTAAATACCCCTGCAGTTACCAATGTTGATGACTAACTTTACTACTACAAGAAGTAGTAGTAAAGTTAGTAGTAGAAGTAGTAGTAGTAGTAGAAGTATTAGTAGTAGTATCAGCACCATCATCATCATCATTGTCATCATCGTCGTCATCTTCATTATCGTCATCATCAAGTTACTCGCGCGTTGTTCGACAATGAGTTTATAGGCCATTGGTTTTTCAATTGCTTAGAAGATAATAACAGCGGCTTGCCATAACTTTTTACCCCCGATTTCTTTCTATTCTGTGCTGTGTTTTTTAAATTTTATTTCTTGGGTCTTTGCTACTGGAGTGTTTAATTTAATAAATGTTTGGGTGTTGATTGCGATTTAAGCTGTAGGTCTCTGGCAGTTCTTTGTTTAAGATTTGCTAAAATGACAGCAACATCGCCGGATCATCATCACCACCAACACCACCATCATCATCATCGTCATTATCATCTTCATCCTCATCATCATTTTCATCTTCCTCATCATTTTCTTCATCATCAACAGTAACAACAACAACCGTTACATCCTATTTAAATATTTAAGACAAGCTCACTGAGGTAATATTGTTAGTATGGTGTCGGTCTTATAATGATTATTCCCTTTCTTTCATTTTTTTTTACCGGAAAAATATATAGCGCTACATAAATAACACTGTTACCTTTGATGTTTTTAGTGTCTTTTGTTGTTGTTGTTGTTGTCGATGATTTCACAGTAATTTGTTGATGTCGTTGTTTTTGTTTGTTTAGTAGTCCGTGACGATAAATTATAGTAAAAAATTATACCAATAGAAATAATAACAATAACCACAACAACAATAATAATAATCATTAATAATAATAATAAGAAGAATAATAATAATAACAAAATAACCTTTGTCATTAACGTAAATTACCTAGCGTAAAAAAATCCCATTTGTCAGTGCATCAACATCACCAGCAACAACTACATCATCATCACCACCACCACCACCATAATCATCATCATCATCACCACCACTATAATCATCAACTTCCTTCTCGTCATCATCATCATCATCAGCATCAACAACATCAACATCAACAACAACGTCATCATCAGCATCAGCATCAACAACAACAACACCAACAACGACAAAGCAATGAACAAAGTCAATACGGATAACGAAATAAGCAAATAACGCATTATTGAAACAAACAATTCTATCCCAATACATACAAACATACATACATACAAACATACATACATACAAACATACATACATACATACATACATACATACATACATACATACATACATACATACATACATACATACATACATACATACATACA